CAAAGTTCTTCATTTGCGAGTGATTCTCTTCCTTTGTCCCCACCCCCGACTTTGCCCCTTGATCTCGATTTTGTTTCTTTTCCCCCCTTTGAACAAATCAGTAACAACGAACAAACCACACAGCTTTGTAATTGGGCTCCTTTCGCTGTTTGCGAAGAACTCCCCCAAGTTACTCCCAGGAGATCGGCTGAGAGGGCTTGGGGACGACCCAGGAGAAAAGACGCCCCCCCTATAGAGTCCCGGGTCAGAGGCGCACGCTGAAACTCAGACACTGAACTGGCCAACCCTCCAGGGACGCTACGATAGCCTTAGCTGGGCGATGGGTGCCTCGGCCACACAGGTGACAGCCCGAGGTGGCTCGGGGAGGACAGAGAGGGTGGTGGCCGCCAGCAGACGGCGATCGCGGCCCGCGCCGCCGCCGCAGGGTCCACACTGACGTGCCTAGGGGCTTCGGCCCCAGCGCACTGCCCTCCAGCTCCTGCTGCAGGTCCCGGGATGGAGTCACAACCTCCGTGCCCGCCCCTCCCGGATCCGCTCTCCTCCCACTTGGCCCGTAATCTGCGCCTCCTGTTGGCCGAGGTGACCTCGGAGGCCTTTTCCAACTTGCAGCTTTCTTTCTCTCCTGAGTTTTGTTTGCGGCCGCCTCCTCCTGCTCAACGTTGCTCTTTCCTCCCTCCACAGTCCTGCCTAGAAACTGCTGGTTCGCTAGATCTTGAACCGTTCTCTCAGCCCACCGAGGGTACAGCAGAGCCCGGGAGTCTTTGCCCCAGGGAGTTGCCAGGAGACACCTCCACGTGTCCTCTGTGCTCCAGGGGCTTCACCAGCCTTTAGACAGTCTTGTTCTGAACATGGCCAGGAGACTGTCACCAGGGCAGATAGCCTGCACCTCCCATGGGATCATTTCTAGTCTTGCTCGGTCCCCAAGAACCTCAGCCTACCCACCTTGTTCGAAGCTTGAGGCTAATTCTGAGCATAGAAACCCACAAATAGATGTCTCAGGGCCGGCCCTCAAAAAAAGGAACAAGGGGTTCTGTCCACAGGGGCCCTCTTTACACCAAAGATTTCTCATGAGCACAAAGGTGTGTGTAAGGGAATGAAAGAAAGTACTGGTTACTCTCTATCAGGGGCTCAAGTTTATGGTGTTTAAAGTCCAGGACTCGGTTTATTTGAAAGTCAAGGCTTTTGTGCAAAAGCTTAAACATGTCATTTCCATATATACACACCTTCCTAATTTACCTATGCTCATTTACATATACAGGCACACATTCATACACTACATGCACACATAATTTCCTCTAGCAATGGGTCGACCTGAATTTTCGGAGGGTTATAACCACAGGTTGAATAAAAACTTAGCCACTTTTCTAAGTCGGTCTTTTGGCCGAGTTGCTGAAAGAACAAAATTGGTCAGTCAACAGTGGAAACTAATCCTTGCCTTGGATTCCGGACTTTCTCTAGCGTTACTTGGGCATGGTACAGTTAGACTCTAAATCCCCAAGAATATAGTTTTTAGGATGGCATCCGGCTGGGAGGCTGGGAGGGAGCCCCATCAAGCTGGCCAGGGAGGATGAGAAGCAGACGGAAGTATTTATCAAACTGGTTTTAGGCTGTTCGTGTGTGTGTGTGTGTGTGTGTGTGTGTGTGTGTATGTGTGTGTGTGTGTGTGTAGAGCCATTTGGGAGAGTGAGAATAGAAGAAGCGGGAAGCAGAGGCTTCCAGAAGTTATCACTGACAGGAGTTGCTTCTCACTGCTCGTGCCAGGCTGAGGCACAGGGAGGCTGGCACACCATGCCCACCACTGCTTCATTGGCACAGGCGGCGGTTGCCAATCTTCTGTCACTTGGCAACAAGTTACACCTGCACCTCTGATTTCCTGCTTCTGCAGGTGGGCACCCACAGGGTTTGCACTGGCTTGAGCTGGGAACAGTTTATTACTACTCCGGGCTTCTGAAGAGGGGTGCCCTGAGTGACAAGCACCAACGTGGCTGCATGCAATGTGACGCCATTTACCTCCTATTTAGATGTTCTGGAAAACAAGGGTAACATCCTATTTGGAAACAATGTTCAGGGCTTGGTAGAAAAAAAATGAGACCATTTCAAAGTCATCTATCCAAGTTCCCCAAAGCATAAAGCATTCCTGCAAAGCTCACTGGAGTGCAGGGTGTTTATAAAATAAATTGCCCCATTGATATGGAAAATAATGTGCCAAGCTTGATCCATACAAAGCGTTTTCAGGGGGTCTTTGGCTATTTAGTTTAAAAATCTAAATTGAAAAGCACAGGAAAGAAATCTTTCAATTGCTAAGTGGATAATATAGTTTATAATTTGTAAACCGTTTCTTTTATTTCAGTCTTGCTGACTTCCCCTAACACAGTGGATCTCTCTGCACACCCATTGCCTCCTAAATTATTAAAGGAAAATGGTTCTACCAAATTCTTAAACAATATTCCTGTTCGTTTTGTTCATTTACAATGTAACTGATATTTGTAAGTGGTTCATGAAACAAATCAAAAGATTTAATAAACTTGGATGCTGAAATGAAAGTAGCTGAAAACTAAGTCTATAACCTAGATGTTTATTTAAAAATATGAAATGTTTCTTTTCTAGCACAATTCTATATTATTCGATGAGTTTACTAGTAAGTACTGGATGGCCTGGAATGAAAGGTCAACCGCAGAGGGATGGATTTGCTGCTGCACTGCGCTATAACAACCTGGGATAAAGATAAAATGAAATAAAATAAATATGTAATAATCATAGCAAGGGGGCAATGGGGTCGGGAATTCACAGCCTCAGATATTTTTGTTAACAGGGGGAAAAAAAGGAACTGTCACATGGTCAGCACCCAACATTCTGGAACACCCTTATTCTTGTTATTATCCGTTATCTCTGCGTCAGAGGAGCCTTTGCATTACACACCGGGCAGTCTGCAGGCATTCAGCAAGGCCTGCCTTGCCCACCAGCAATCTCCCGAGGCACCTTCGTCTCAGGAGTAGAAACCTCTATTTCCACCCTACCCGGCCCCAGGACGTCGGAGGAACTTCTGCGCTCTAAGGGTCTTTCTGGAAGAAACTGTTAAATCAAGCCCCCATCTTTCTCTTGGGAATGGCAGTCTGAACCCATGTAGTCTGAGATTGGGTTGGAAATCTCCTGTACACCCCGGAAGCATACTTGTTCTGGGATTCAAGAATGACAGCCCTGTGTTACGGTATGCCTTGATCATCCCCAGGACCGGCCTGGCTCTTTCACAACGTAGGAAGTAACAAAACAATACAAAAAGGCAGCAGCGCTGTCACCGGATCAGAGGTACCACCTTTCAACTGGATTCCAGCATCCCCTCCCAAAACCCGAGTTCACACGGTTTTCGAAGTCCTTTGGCAAACAGCTTCTTGGAGAATCATTCCAGGAAAGAATGGGGTAGGTAGGTATTCTTTTGCCGTTTCAACAAACTTTTTTTGACTGGTGGAGTAACTAGATTCCAAATAGATCTTGTTTTTGACCTTCGCAGAAATTCAAGAGGAGAAAGTAAATTGGGAAGAGTACCTGACTATAACATCCCATCCATTAAAAGACACACCCCTATCTCCCCCCCCCCCCCCCCCGCCCCGCAAAGAAAGTTCAGGGTAGATAAGGGAGCTATGAGCCCTGCACCACACAAAAGCGGCCGCACCTCCATCCACGGAGACCCGAATTATTATAGATTTCGGATCTGGAAAGGCCTTTGCTAGAGTAGGCTCTGGAGAATGCACTGAGCGCCGGGGGTGGGAGAGACTGCTTGGCCTGAAAACCGGCAGTGGTGCATTCGGCTTAAGCTCCCCCTGGGAAGATCTCCCCCGCACCGCTGTTATTCTGCACTCTGGCTGAGTGCAAAGTGCGGCCTCTATCTCCAACTTTCCCCTTCCCTGCGGGCGCAGAGTTGGCTGGCTGGGGACAGGGGAGGAGCTGGGTCTCCAATGAGCGCATTTAAACACGACCCAGGGCTGTATTCCCCCCGCCTCCCCCGACAGCGATTCTTTCTTCCTCTTGGTTTTCAACCCAATCGTTAATCATTCGGAGCGCGCGGGCGGGGAGAGGAGAAGGGGGCGAGCTCCGGGTTCGCCGCCATCGCCGCCGCGCGCGCGCGCTCAGGAAGCAGTGTGGCTGTGACCCCGCCTCCCCCCGCGCCCCCTTTTCCCCCTCCTTCCTGCCCTTGCTCCCCCCCCTTCTCCTCCTCCACCTCCTTGCACCGCCGCCCGCGCCCAGTGTATCTACTCCCTCCACACGTCACTCGCCAGCGCGCCATGCAAATCACCGCCGCCGGCGGCTCCCATTGGCCGCGGCGCGCTCATTTAATGGCAGCCCGGGCCCGGCGTATGGCTGCTGGGCCCCCCGCGCCACCGGCCCCGCGTGCGCCTCCGCTCCGAGCGCACGGCCCCAGGCAGGCAGCGGACAGCTTGTCCTAGGCGCAGCGGCCCGGCTCTCTGGCTCTCTGCACGCGTTGGCACTCCCACCGCTGTCCCTAACCCCCTCCCTAGCTGCACCGCGATCGCCCCCTCCGAACCCCCCTCCGAGTCCCCCTCAGCGCCTGGCTCCCCCCAGGCACCTGGGACCAGCACATGCCCAGCGCACGCGGCGCGCCGCCCTGCTAGAAGTTGCGGCCCCGGAGTTGGAAGCCGCCAAGGAAGCCAGCGCAGGAAAGAGACTTCGAGCCGCCAAGAGGAGGCAGCGAACCCCGTGTCGGGCCCAGTGGCACCGCTTCAGACCCAGAAAGTGGAGCCTCAACTTGGCCACGACTGCACCTGTTTGCACAGCTCAGCCGAGAGCGCCCGGACTGCGGCAGCGGCGGCGGCGGCGATCGTCCTGACCAACGGCCCCTTTGGCAAGTGGTTTGTGCACCCGGAGAAACTTTCCACCTGCGAGCTGGACCCGCGCTAAGTGCGTGTGCTTTTGCCTCTTTTTTGTTGTTGCCTCCACCCCCCCCCAGTCTCTCTGGGCTGATCCTCTCTCCACCCACCCACCCCCACCCGGCCGTCTATGCTCCAGGCCCTCTCTTTGCGGTGCCGGTGAACCCGCTAGCCGCCCAGATGTACAGCATGATGATGGAAACCGACCTGCACTCGCCCGGCGGCGCCCAGGCGCCCACGAACCTCTCGGGCCCGGCCGGGGCGGGCGGGGGTGGTGGTGGGGGCGGGGGCGGCGGCGGCGGCGGGGGCACCAAGGCCAACCAGGATCGGGTCAAGCGGCCCATGAACGCCTTCATGGTGTGGTCCCGCGGACAGAGGCGCAAGATGGCCCAGGAGAACCCCAAGATGCACAACTCGGAGATCAGCAAGCGCCTGGGGGCCGAGTGGAAGGTCATGTCCGAGGCCGAGAAGCGGCCGTTCATCGACGAGGCCAAGCGACTGCGCGCGCTGCACATGAAGGAGCACCCGGATTACAAGTACCGGCCGCGCCGTAAGACCAAGACGTTGCTCAAGAAGGACAAGTACTCGCTGGCCGGCGGGCTGCTGGCGGCCGGCGCAGGTGGCGGCGGCGCGGCCGTGGCCAT